GATCACTGCTCCCTGAGGGGACAGTCTATCAAAGATCAGCGTCACCTCCTAGAACAACTCCAGGGCATTGTGACCCAATTGGAGGAGAAGGGCGAGGAGGTCAACAACTTCTGGCTCATCAAGAAAGTCTTGAGCAAATTCCCTGAATCACTAAAGCGTAAGGTGATTGCAAAGAAACAGAGAGTTGCACCGTCGACTCCTTTCACGATGAGCCTGCTATTCCAACACCTGGACGAAGTGATAAGTACGGAAGAATTGATCCTGACGTACACAGAAACAAGACCCAAAGAAACGATTAAGACCAATAAAGTCCTTACCAATAAAGAAGATTTTAAACGTACCTGCATGTACTGCAGGGCTACACATCCATCACATACTTGCACGCAATACTCCACTCCTCAAGAAAGATCAACTTATCTGAGGAAGCACAACCTGTGCTTGATATGTGCATCTCCAAATCACATTACTGCCCAATGCATAGGACGAATGTGCTTCAGTTGTGGAGGGGCGCATCATACCTCCTGCTGCTTCAAAGTCAGCACCAATATCTACGGAAAGTCAAAAACCGGCAATGCCCAAGAAGCTCTGAGTGCTACTCGGACATTAACAACAATGCCGAAAAAGGGCAACCATGGCGAAAATGCCTACAGAGGAGCGCAGAAGGCTCACTCTCAAGTAAACGCTACGACAGAAACCAGCGAACTCGGTTGCTTAGACAATGCAAGGGTGGAATCAGCAATCCTTCATCACCAAGCTACCACCAACAAGTCGACGCGAACGCATCCGTGTCTACCAGTAGGAGAACTCACCATTGTCGATACCGATACAAAGGCCCTAGTAAAGGTGCATGTTTTGCTCGACACTGGAGCTGAACTATCGTTCATTGATAGCTGCTTGGCCAACCGACTGCACTTACCAGTACAGGACACCAAAGAGGTTCAACTGGCAACGTTCGGTTCTCAGGAAGTAAAGAGAATCAGATGTAACCGAGTACATATAGACGTTTGGGATGCAGAAGAAGCATGCAACCCTCACAACCTAGAGCTGCTCACACACAATGTTCTTACACGTTCACTTGAGACGCCAGAACCTTCTGTAGACGACAGGGAATTCATTCGTTCTCTGAACTTGCCTATGACATGGAGGAATGATAATAAGAAGTTAACTCCATCTATTCTGCTTGGGTGCGATCAACTATGGAGTTTTGTGCAAACCAACGAACCATCAATACCCTTACCCTCGGGAATGCACATTTTACCCACAACCAACGAACCATCAATACCCTTACCCTCGGGAATGCACATTTTACCCACTAAAATGGGATACTTGGTTTCAGGACGACCTAAGCTTGAGAACAAAAATGTTTTCCAAGTCTCTCAACAGCTTCAAGATTGAGAACGAAAATGTTTTCCAAGTCTCTCAACAGCTTCAAGATGAAGCAAAAGAATGGGAGAAGCTCTGGTCCATGGACCTTATCCAACAATACACAATATCATCTACAGGAAACAAAGCTTGAGAACAAAAATGTTTTCCAAGTCTCTCAACAACTTCAAGATGAAGCAAGCTTGAGAACAAAAATGTTTTCCAAGTCTCTCAACAACTTCAAGATGAAGCAAAAGAATGGGTGAAGCTCTGGTCCATGGACCTTATCTAACAATACACAATATCATCTACAGGAAACAAAATTCCCCAAGACGATAAGGAAAAGATGGGAAAGGGCATCGATAAGGACAAGACCACGCTGACATCTGATAGATACATTCAGAAGGTCGATCAGATTGCCTCAGAAATCGGAGATGAACTGGTTCAACTATTAGAGATTGTTCCAGACCAAAACAATAGTCGCCCTCAAGGAAAGAACACCATGGAGGTTCAAGCAAAAGAAAGTGACGAAATGACCAAAAGAGCTGTTACGAGCGCAATCGCCTCCATTTATGATCCACATGGTTGGATTCTCCCATTTCTTTACCGATCGGAAACGTTTCTTCAAGGATTATGGAAAAATCAACATGGCTGGGATCAAAGGCTACCTACAAGTAAGGGAGCCGAATGGATAAACATAGTGGATGAAGTGCAATTCTTTGAAAAGAAGATGTCACGGTACAAAGGATCCAAGAACGAGACGGTTATTCCCACCACTTTCGCAGATGCTAGGCTGGGATCAAAGGCTACCTACAAGTAAGGGAGCCGAATGGATAAACATAGTGGGTGAAGTGCAATTCTTTGAAAAGAAGATCTCACGGTACAAAGGATCCAAGAACGAGACGGTTATTCTCACCACTTTCGCAGATGCTAGTACGTCTTCCATGGCAAACCGAATACCTCACAGCGCTCAGAGAGAAACATACCCTCAACGTCGGGAAAAAGCGGGGATGTTCTAAACTACTGCCCCCCGGAGTGTAGCAACTGCTACCATACAGTGCATGCTACAAGGC